ACAGGAAACCGAGCTCTCTATTTTTGGCGAAAATTCGATCTGGCAACATACGGATCATATTGCGGGATAATCGAGCCTGAGTCAGCGATGGTAATCCGTGGAGACCAGGTCTATCCAAATTACAACTTGACACGTCGAGCGTTTTTAGTCTTGAGTGTGTCAATGTTGAGTTCCTAAAAAATAAAATATCAACGATATCTTTTATGGAAAATAATATATTGAAATGTTACCAATTAAATATTAATGTGTGTGTACATATTATATATATACTTATTTGAATATATAGTACTTAATAATATAACATAATATAATACTTAATAATATAACTTATAATACTTAAATAATATAACATATATTGTAACAACTAAATACATAAATAAAGTTATATCCTATAATAAATATAAATAAAAAAAATATATAAATAATATAATAATTATTAATATGTATATTAATAATTGAATATTTAATCTGCTGATGATTTTTGATTCTCAAACATTATAAATATAAAATATTAAATCATACAATAAATGCAGATTTTGTAAAAATTTTAACAAACAATATCAAAATACTAATTTTTATTATTTTCTGTTTTTGCAGAAAACGAATTTTTATAGTTATAGAATTCACTATTTCTTGCTTTAAACTATTGTTATTTTTTTTTTTATAAATCAGTCATATCTAATATTTTTCTAAATTTAGTAAGTAGTTTTAATTAATATTAAATGAGAAAGATCTAATGCTTGTCCTTTTCCTACAGAACAAAAGCTCAAACAGGAAATTATCAAATTTCGTTACATTTGTTAAAATTAAAGTAACTACTGTCATGTATATAAATTTAATTGAATTGAAAATATTTTTCCTCAAATATTTAATGATTCTTTTTTACAATAACTTATTCCTCCCTAACAACATTACGTAATATAAATATATTTCTAACATCTTTTAAATTTGCACAATAAAAAGTAAATATATATATATTAGAAGAATAATAACGTAATAAACAATTTAAAATAACCATGGATATATACGATAATATAGGTTTAATTTAATAAACAAGAATTGCAAAGAAAAATATAGATATAATTTTCCTGCTTATGATTATTGCATGCAAAACGATTATCTTGTTGTTTCGGACATTTCTTTTATTGTAATCAATTACTCTAGAGAATAATTTTTCTGTTTAGAATTTCGATTGCTTGCCTCGTACTGTAGACTAAAGTGGGATTGTTGGACAGTCGAAGCTCTTCAAGCGCTGAAAATCCATTGAAAGTATCAGGTCTTAAATAATTTAAAAGGCAGTCAGACATGTCGAGCCACTGTAATTTTGGACTCCAGGTTTTGTTGATGTCTTTCAATGGGTTTCCCATTAACGTAAGCATAGTCAACTCTGGTAGGTCATCCAAAGATGTATTAGTGAGTTCCCGTATTTCTGTTAAATGAAAATATATTAAAGAGAAACCCGTTGATTTAAGAGTAGTAATTAAGGTTTCATTTCATAAGTAAAAGAAATAAATTTACTGTATCTTTATACATGCATGACAAAATATATTCATTTATTATCCCTTTCAGGTAAAGAAGTAAACAAATAAATATATTGAATTTTAAAGAGAGAGATTTTAAATAGTTTCAAAATTTAAATTTAAGTTATAGAATATTTTAAACTTAAATATTAAGTACATAGGTGTACATAGAATAAATATAGATTAAGCACACGGGTGCACATAGAAATTAAGTATAGAGTAAGAATTTAAATTAAAGAATTTATTAGGAACTGAAATTTAAAATTTAAAATTTACTATCTTTGAAAATTTATTTAAAATGAAAATCTTGAAAGATTTATGTTTGTATTATATTTAGATGAAGATATTAATTTGTAGATTGAGAATATATAATTTGTAACAAAATGATTATTAAAATAGTAATATAATTAATGAAATATAATTGTACCACAATAACTAGCATCCAAAGCTCTAATGCTGGCACTCATTAACCCTTCCAATTTGGATAGTGGATTTTTGGATAAATATAGAACCGTCAACGATGGTAGCTGTACTATAGACCTAATATCAACGATGTGTTTTATATTGTTGGCAGTTAAATCCAATGTTCGTAAGCTTTTTAAAGAACTTAAATCCTCAGGTAATGAAATTAATTTATTTCTTGCTAATTTCAAGATTCGTAAATCTATCAATCGATTAATGTCATCAGTGATATTCGTTAACAGGTTGTTGGATAAATTTAATTCCTGTACCTAAAACATAATTAAGTAACAATTGCCTTAAATTAAATAGAAAAATATTCTTAAATGTAAAATGTTGTCGATAATTAATGCACACTCTTGCAATTTGTACGAAATTACTTCTTAAATAGACTACGGATTTTTATGCAAATTTTTTGAGAATATAATGAAAAAAAAATAGATTCTTGACAGAGAAGTGTTTTATATAATTATAGAAACATT